ATATATATTATATTATATTTTTTAATGTTTTAGTGAACTTCGATAGAGGAAAAAGATGCCAGAAAAGAAAGAATCTATGTTAGATACGAACGAAACGGTGAATAAAGATAATGCCAATAGTTGCAGTAACGATTTTCAAGGAAGTCCGGAAGAAAAGAAGGATGTTGCAACAGATCAACATTCGGGCAAGAAAGACGGCCAAAAAAATACGAAAATAATTAAAAGAATAATTAAAGGAGTTAAAAAAGGTAAAATTTTAATTAAACTGTCAATTAATTTTTAAATTAAATTTATTTCGTTGCCAAAAAAAAGTCTTGAAGCTAATTAACTGCAAGCAATCAATTGGATGTACTGATGAAAGAATATAAATTTACAAAAATCATTATGATGTTAAAGTAATGAGAATAAAATTGTCAGTTAAGTTTACACAATAATTACAACCAAACATTAGTAACAAATGCAGGTTAAATAATAGACCAATCTCTTTCTTCTGTTATGTAAATTTTATTTAATTGCTAAATAGTATTTTAAGTTAAAAAGCATGACAATACAGAAACAAATTACCACATTATTATAAGTTTACATTAGTTTGCTCTGTTATCTTATTACACAGATAATACAGCATTCTTCATTAAAAAGGACAAATGAAAGAACAATAAAGAATTTATTTCAGAATGAGCGTGGGAGATAAAATTTCCATTATATAGTGGAAATTTTATCTCTAATTTTACAACCTGTATCTAATTTTAAAACAGAAAAAATGTATTTAAAAATTTTTGATTTGTTATACAAAAAATATACGATATAAAATATATTATAGTGAGCTATGAAAGATTTTTGTATTATTGAGACCTTCATTGGAAATTCCATTCAAACTACTTTATCCTCATCTGTACAGTTATATAACTGAAAATATTCAAATAATAAATATTAATTAGCTTACTTCATAAATATAAACCAATTTTAACTTTTTTGAAAGTGTCCTTAAATTATAGACTTAATTTTATTAAATGCTTTCATTAATCATAAACATGTTGTTTATTAATGAACTTATTTATCTATATACAAGTGTTTATAATTTATTTATTTGAATGATAATTCTATGCTATTTTCTTGACATTAGTTACATTGATGTTACATAAAATTATGCCAACAAATATAATTAATGACCTATATTTTAACCTAAATAATAGGAATGACCTGACTCTACAGTTAAATTTATTGTTTTCTTTATACTTAGTTTATAGAAAGTTTAACTTTTTAAAAAATTTTATATAGGTTTTTATTAATAAAATAAAAATTTGAATTATAAACACAGTATATTATTTCTATTTTAGACAAGAATGATCCATTACGATTTGTAGACGGAGTAAACTTTAGGGGAAAATTAATTGGAGTGGAAGAAGTAAATGATGCTAGAGGAGACAGAATATGTCAAGATTCTTTACAGAAATTAAAAGTAGGAAAATATTTATTTAATTGATAATTTATATGCAAATACAAGTCATTAGTTAGAATATAGATTGAGTAGGCAAGATAGTTTTTAATCATTAATAAGTTATAAATAACCCATAATAGACTATTGTGAAATGATAAATAAATCATTCTTGAATCTGTAATTTATTTAGAATGTCTTTGACATTTCATGTTAGTGGTTAAACTAATTGTTGTTATTCTTAGAATGGAATACATTTTCCCATAACAGAATAATAATAAATTATTCTTTGATTAAATATATCTTATAACTGTCATTATTATTAAATTTTATACCTAATTTGCTTTATCTTTTTTAGTGTAAATATATTGAATAGATATGTTGCATGATTTATTTGTTAAGTTCAAAAAAGCTATTATACAATAATATGTAAAAAATTTGTTTGTAATTTTGTGCTATTTCCAAGAACTGTCTTGATGATAAAAACATGATTTACGAGTTATTAGAGTGGCTATTGCAAATTTGAGATGTTTTTTTTTTCATGTAACTATAATTAGTATGCATGACTTTTAAATTACTTGGAAAGTAATAATAGCTAAATCATGGATGGAGGAAAATTTATAAGTGTGTTTATCACTTAAATTTGCAACTGTAGTTTGAATAAAATGTTTTTTGAAGAGCAATATCCATTGTTTTGTTTAAAAAATGCTTTTTCTAGAGCAAAATAATTGCTCTATAAAAAGCATTTTAATCAAATTTTAAAAAATTCTTGGCTAAATGAATGATTTTTATAATTTGAAATCATTTTAAAAAGAATGATACCATTATCTAATGTTGACCTATTTTATTTCCAAAATAAAATTAATTAGTAAATTCATTGAAAATTTCATAAATGTAATGAAAGTGAGACTAAATAAACTTAACCTCTCCTAAAATGACTAGCTTTAAATGAATTTATTATAAGAATTACTATCTTTTAAATAATATCAGTTTGTCCATTATTATGCAAAGGAAATAATTCAGTAATATTCAGAATTGTATATTGTTCATGATTGTAGATAGCAATAAGTAATTCTCTCATATATGAAATTATGTTATGAAAACAGAAAAAATTTAAGGGAATAACCAAGATTTGTCTTTGAACTGACCTAATGCTCTTCTATAAAAATGATAAAATAATTCTATCAAATTATATGAAAAGGACAGATTTATAACATATAAAAGTTGAACTTAAATATTTAAATAATGTCAAATCACTTTTAAAAATTTAAACTTATTCTAAAAATTGTTTTTTCCAGAAACTGAGTAATACATTTTCAGTTAGGAATCTGTATTTATATAATTGACAAGTATATTATTCAGAGATTAAACTGACTTTAAAATATATAAAATTTAGGTTATTAATTATGAATTAATTAATTATTAGAGAGGATCTGACCAAAGTTTTCATCCCAAAAACATAAACGTTAGACGTTCAGCACCACCATCCTGTAAACCTAGAAGTTTGACAATGGCATTTGGAATGTCAGTGGAATCATGCTCAACGTTCCAAATGCCAATGTCAAACTTCTAGGCACGATAAAAACTTTGGCCGCAACCTATCTATAATAACAGTAAATAATAAAATAAATTTATATTTATGAATTTATTTTATTTCAAAATCTTTTTTCTCAAAGCATTATAAATCTTATTGAATTTAACAAATATTTGATATTATTTTTTTATTCCTTTAAAAATAAATTCATCTTTCACTTTGATAAACTTCCTCAGTGTGTCAATAGATTTCTCTAACAAAAATTCAATTTAAGTTGCTTTTCTCTAAACAAAAATTTTTAAATTTTAGACCTGTTAATAAATTCAATTCAAATTACTCTTCTCAAAATACAATATATATTGTAAATTTATTTATTTCATAAAAGAATAATATATTATGTGAATATGAAAATTTAAGAATGTTCAGATTGGAATTTATCTTTATTAACTTTCATTTTACTTAATTGATTATTATTATGCAGTTCCATTCAAAAGACTTTGCTGTAATGAAGAAAACTTTAAAATAAAATACCAATAATTTAAGTCAGAATTTCACAAAGACTTTTTCTGATAAACACAAATTTAAATCATTTATAGCATTACATTTTTTACGTATTTAAAAATTATTTAGATTTTTTCCTTATATTTATTGATGATATATTTTAAATAACAGTTTCATCACCTCTATTACTATGATACTTTTTTTTACAAGATATGAAGAATAAATTTTAAAATTTAAGATTTATAACTGCTTTATTTAAAAATAGATAAATATTTAAACACCTGTTAAAACTAATTACATGTTGTTTGTAATAGCAACTAACTTGTAAGAATAAAATTTATATATAAAGATCTTATTCTTTAGAATTAATTTATTCCAGAGTTTACATATTTTATCTATACAAAATTTACTTTTAAAAAATATGTTAAAGTTTTAATCATTTTTTGAAAATATACAGTATAATTATAAAAGATACAGACATTAAATAGAATAATAAAAATTACTGTTGTTTAAAGTGTAATATAAAAACATCAAAACATATCACATACTTAATTTTCATTAATAAGGAATTTATTTACTCATGTTTAAAAACAATTTATATAATTTAGTTTTTGAAATAAAATGATTTTTCTTTTGAAAAAATCAAAATTAAGTACTTGAAAGAATATGTTTTCAGAAGGTATTTTAACAACAGGTGTAACTAATGACTGAATTCTCAAAATGCCTAGCATCAGGGAGTGGCCACAAAATGAGAAGTAAATTAACGGCAGTATTCTTGATTGTTAAATTATTAATATACAAAATTTCACATGAATAAATGAAAGAATTAAGATATTTAAAATTGGCAAATGAATTGTTGTAAATCTGGTTTTAAAACATGAATAATTTTTTGAAGTCATTAAACATCACAATACCATAGTTGAAAATGAGTGTGATATTTGAGATTTGTGAAATTTCATAACATTGTTTTACATTTTTATAAACAAAGTTACAAAACTAGTATAAATGTGGTTATAAATCATTTAAATGTTCTAAAAAGCAAACCGCATATAATTTATTTTATTCTAAATGTGGTGTCTTAATTTCAGCAATTATTCCGTTAAGCAAAACAAGATACATAAGGCGTTGCTGAATAATTTAAATGGGTATTCTTGCATTCATTTTCATTTATAAAATTTTTAAAGATTGTCTTTATCATCTGACATCTGTAGATTTTTGCATGTAACAAAAGTGTGCCATTGACATGTATTTCAACTTTTAAATTTGCTTGATAAAATTTTATTTTTTCAGATAGAAAGTTAAACAGATGAAAAAAATAAATTTCAAAAATAAAATTTTATCAAGAAATGCATTATAAACAAAAGTTCAGATCCAGAAATATAAAAAAATTGCCCGAATAATACAAAACAATCTTTGCAACATGTTTCTTTTAATTATTTATTGCTGTATTGTAAGAAAAAGAGAGAAAATAGAACCTCATTCACTCTGAGAATACCAAGAAACAAATATTCTTCTAAGCATGAGTGTCTGCAAAAAATTTCTAAGGGACAAAGCTTGGAGAAAAATTAAAATTTATTGATGTAATTATTTAATCTTATTTTGTTTTTTTTTTATCACAAGTAGATTACAGAATATAATATTTCATCAATATAAAAAGACAAAAGTGTCCCATGATCAAGGATGTAAGGTTACACAGCTCAATCACTTTATGATTATAATTTGTGGAATTTTTACTTGATCTGCAGACATTACTTCTAAGTTATTTTGAGAATTATCATTTTGTAATTACAGTAATTGTTTTTCATTTCCATACCAACTACAATTAACACCAATACATTATTGTATATTTTTATTGCTTATGCAAAAATAATTATTAATAGCAATATGAAAATATTTATTGAAGTTTCATGGCATATAATTACATGTATGCTTGGGATATTATTTCATAAGTTTTTATTAACTTGTAAAATAACTTCACAAACAAATGTGTAATAAGCATATGGAGCAAGAAAAAATGCAAAATATATTAAATCTAATTATTGTAATAAAACCATTTTTTTTCTTTTTTAGTTAATAGTTGATAGAAATAGTTTTTCTCAAATTGAGAAAAATACTGTTTAATTATTTAATTTAAAAACAGAGTTATAATAGTGTAGTTGTCATTATATTTAGCNTCTAATTTGTTATAAATTACAGCTTATTCTTACTTTTAATAAGCTGACAAATAGATTAATATGACAAACTGAGTTGTTTCAACTCAAAATTGATATCAGCTAAAACTATATCTAACAACATTTTTAATTATTTCAATAAATAAAGAACATATTTTCAGATGGAAAATAATAATAAAAATAAAAATGTGAAATCGGAACAAAACACAGATGAAAAAGAAAATTCAGAATCTATTTATAGTGTGAGTGAATTATTCAGTATTTAATAAATCTAACATTATTATTAAAATAAAGTATTTTGAGAATTAATATTTTTCTTTTTAATAGGATGTAATTAGCTCATCATCTGTAGAAAATGTTCCTCCTGAAAACAACAAATCTGTCTCTTCTCTGCCAAAACCACAGTCTAATGTTGATGATTTATTATGTTTACAATTAGAAGTAGATAAACTTCAAGAAGTATGAATATATTTTGAAATTCATTCAGTTCTTTGCCGAGTATAATTATTGGTTCACAGACTTTACAAATGTGAAGGGTTCTATGATTTAGAAAACTTAACATCTTGGGCATTCATTCTTATATTTACTTCTATTTTATACTAAATAAATTGATAAGGGTAAGATGGTTTTAGCAAAAAAGTTTTATGGTTCAAGTCATCTGCTGTCTTGTATCTAAATAGTTTTCAATTTTTCATATAATTTGTTTTAATTATTTTAATCTACTTAATATCATCTGTAGAGAATAATTGAAATAAAATTTTTAAGTTAAATTATATATGAGAACAGTTCATAACAAAATCAGAAGGATTTATCTTTAGTGTAGAGAGGAAAAATGTTATCTTTTCAAGATGATCATTAGTTATAAATATTCTATGAATTAATAAGAGTAATATATTCCAGTAATGAATTAATTTAGATAGTCAAGTAATTAGTTTCATTAAATTGTAGATATTAGATAAAGTAACATACAATTATAGTTCAAATTTGATAAAAATTGAGTCAATAAATTATGAAAATTTTTTGTAATCTGATGAAAAACTATGGACATTAAACATTAATACTGTATATTTAATATAGAGCAAACATAAGATACTTTAAAAAATAGTAATATAATCATATTACATTAAATTTCACACAAAATGTTGCAAGCTTAATGTAATTCTTTTTATCTTGTTTACTTAATGAAACAAGTCTAGTTATAACTTTTGTACTTTACAGTCATGATCGAAACTTTGTTTTTTTATAAATAATAAATTTAATGCATGTAATAATGTAATGACATTAAATTTTAACACAGGCTATTGTCAAGAGTTCTGGAGAACATAAACAAAAGGTGTTATTAAATATCTCTTTTCAAGGAATAAAAATATCTGATGAAAAAACTAATGTAAGTAAATGATACATTTTTTAAAAATAATTAAAAATAGTAATTAAATTAAATCTTGTTTTAATCATTTTTTTTACAGGAGATAATTTATCAACATCCTGTACATATGATATCATTTACATCCCTAGATGTCAATGATAATAGAGCTTTTGGTTATATCTGTGGAACTACAGAAGAAGGCCACAAATTTGTTGGAATTAAAACAGAAAAAGCAGTATGTAATTCATTTCTCATTTAGAAGAATTCAAAACTTTATTCAATTATCTTGCGTTCTGTAAAAAAAAAAATACAGAATAAGTATAAAACTGAATAATATATACATCATTGAATAATTAAATTAACATTTATATAAACCTAACTAATAATTAAATTATGAAATTACTAAGTTTATGTTAACAGTAATGGAGTCTTTTTACAAAATTTTCAAAGATTAAGGATACACAAGAAAAAGTTTTTATGAAATTAACACACAAAATTTTTAAAGATAATTTGTTTAAGCAACTTCATGATAAAATGACAAACATTTTAAAAAGAAAACATAAAAACATGTTAAGTAATCATTAAATTAATAAATGCAGCATTTTTTCTAAGCAAGGTCAATCATAATACAAATTGTGATCATCAGTATAAATTTGAGTCATAAATATGATTAAAAGAACATATAAGTGGTTAAAATTATAGAACAGCATTCCTTTTTAATTTAATAATAAAAAATAAAAAATAGTTTAAAAGTAAATGCTGTAGAAAATATGTACACACATTTCACACTCATTTAAACTGTAGTCTATGTCATTATAACAAAATACATAACTTGTTAAAAATATAATTTTGCTGTTGTAATCTAGCTAATAAATTTAACATTTGGTTTCTTGGAGACCAAAGAAATGTATTTATCTGGTCTGTAAGAAAACAAGCAAAAAATCTTAAGAAAATTTATCATTTTTCTAAAATTGAAACAAATATTTCTATATTTTTAAAACAAGATACAATATCTTTCTCATCATATTAAAATGCTTTTTGAGTGTTTGTAGTAAAATTTAAATAATTATTATTAATTGGATAAAAGAAAATGTAAAACACTATATATTGACAGTATTGATTTGAAACACAAATATCTTTATTTAACATATTGAAGTTCAAGGTAACTATTTGTTGATTATTTTAATATACCGAGTATACACTGAAATTTGAATAAGGTTCATTATGTTCCCTTCCATAGTAGGACTAAATAATAATGCATAAATTTGTAAATTGTTGTACTTTATCTGAATTTTAACTGTAACTGTAAATTATTTTAGTATGTCCTAGTATAGCTTGATTTTTACTATTTTTAATGAGAGATTAAATATTTATATGTTATTTTCAGTTAGTCTTATTCTATAAAAAATTTTACAGTTTTGTCATGTCAAAAAATTTGTTAATTTAACAACTGAATCCAAATAGGAATATTGTTTGTAAATGTAATTGTCTATAAAATAATTTCAAACTATTTATATATAAAATACAAAAATCAGATTGTTTTGAAATATTTGATTGAATAAGAAATAATTTTAATAGAAAACAATATTTATGAACATCTTATTTCAAGCAAAAAATTCTTATAATTAATAAGAAAACTTTTATATAACAAAAAGACAATAAATATTTTCTTTTAAACACTAAATAATTGTTAAAATTCTTGCAGAGTTCAACAAGAGTATAATTATTGGTTCACAGACTTTACAAATGTGAAGGGTTCTATGATTTAGAAAACTTAACATCTTGGGCATTCATTCTTATATTTACTTCTATTTTATACTAAATAAATTGATAAGGGTAAGATGGTTTTAGCAAAAAAGTTTTATGGTTCAAGTCATCTGCTGTCTTGTATAAAAGGATCTCAATCTCTTAAATCCATCACTAAATATAACAGTATTTATAGAAAGTAATTTTATTTAATTAAATAAAAAAGCCAATAAATGAAAAATAAATCCGTTTTTACTTTAAATTGTAATCTAACAAATTAATCATTTAATGAATTAAAATACATTTTATCTTTATTCAGTTCTTACATATTGGCTAATTCTAATTTGAGTTTCTTGAATGGCTACATTTACATCAATTTATATTATTTGCTTCTATATTTAGGGAAAAACTCTTGTAAACATTTTGTTGTGTGCTTTTGCAAACCATACTTATCTCCACTAATTTGACAGTTAGTGTATAATATATTAATAAAAATCTTCCAAAAAAGTTTTATTTTCATATACTAATAAAACAACTTTTGGATTCAACCTTATGAACTCCAGTACTGGCTCAGACNTGTAAAATTCCCGTGAATCTTACGTTAGTAGTGCCTGAGAAGTGAATGGACACGATACTTAGAACATTTCACATTTATTTAACATATATCGGGTAACTACAGAACAGGGTTCAGCGACAATCCAAAAAGGGCACACTGCCCTCGGTTACAGGGTTTATATATCGGGCGTCTCGCCCTCGGGCGCTGCGCTCGACGCGCCCTTTACATGTCGTGGTAAGACACGACATGACATTTATGTTAACAGTAATGGAGTCTTTTTACAAAATTTTCAAAGATTAAGGATACACAAGAAAAAGTTTTTATGAAATTAACACACAAAATTTTTAAAGATAATTTGTTTAAGCAACTTCATGATAAAATGACAAACATTTTAAAAAGAAAACATAAAAACATGTTAAGTAATCATTAAATTAATAAATGCAGCATTTTTTCTAAGCAAGGTCAATCATAATACAAATTGTGATCATCAGTATAAATTTGAGTCATAAATATGATTAAAAGAACATATAAGTGGTTAAAATTATAGAACAGCATTCCTTTTTAATTTAATAATAAAAAATAAAAAATAGTTTAAAAGTAAATGCTGTAGAAAATATGTACACACATTTCACACTCATTTAAACTGTAGTCTATGTCATTATAACAAAATACATAACTTGTTAAAAATATAATTTTGCTGTTGTAATCTAGCTAATAAATTTAACATTTGGTTTCTTGGAGACCAAAGAAATGTATTTATCTGGTCTGTAAGAAAACAAGCAAAAAATCTTAAGAAAATTTATCATTTTTCTAAAATTGAAACAAATATTTCTATATTTTTAAAACAAGATACAATATCTTTCTCATCATATTAAAATGCTTTTTGAGTGTTTGTAGTAAAATTTAAATAATTATTATTAATTGGATAAAAGAAAATGTAAAACACTATATATTGACAGTATTGATTTGAAACACAAATATCTTTATTTAACATATTGAAGTTCAAGGTAACTATTTGTTGATTATTTTAATATACCGAGTATACACTGAAATTTGAATAAGGTTCATTATGTTCCCTTCCATAGTAGGACTAAATAATAATGCATAAATTTGTAAATTGTTGTACTTTATCTGAATTTTAACTGTAACTGTAAATTATTTTAGTATGTCCTAGTATAGCTTGATTTTTACTATTTTTAATGAGAGATTAAATATTTATATGTTATTTTCAGTTAGTCTTATTCTATAAAAAATTTTACAGTTTTGTCATGTCAAAAAATTTGTTAATTTAACAACTGAATCCAAATAGGAATATTGTTTGTAAATGTAATTGTCTATAAAATAATTTCAAACTATTTATATATAAAATACAAAAATCAGATTGTTTTGAAATATTTGATTGAATAAGAAATAATTTTAATAGAAAACAATATTTATGAACATCTTATTTCAAGCAAAAAATTCTTATAATTAATAAGAAAACTTTTATATAACAAAAAGACAATAAATATTTTCTTTTAAACACTAAATAATTGTTAAAATTCTTGCAGAGTTCAACAAGAGTATAATTATTGGTTCACAGACTTTACAAATGTGAAGGGTTCTATGATTTAGAAAACTTAACATCTTGGGCATTCATTCTTATATTTACTTCTATTTTATACTAAATAAATTGATAAGGGTAAGATGGTTTTAGCAAAAAAGTTTTATGGTTCAAGTCATCTGCTGTCTTGTATAAAAGGATCTCAATCTCTTAAATCCATCACTAAATATAACAGTATTTATAGAAAGTAATTTTATTTAATTAAATAAAAAAGCCAATAAATGAAAAATAAATCCGTTTTTACTTTAAATTGTAATCTAACAAATTAATCATTTAATGAATTAAAATACATTTTATCTTTATTCAGTTCTTACATATTGGCTAATTCTAATTTGAGTTTCTTGAATGGCTACATTTACATCAATTTATATTATTTGCTTCTATATTTAGGGAAAAACTCTTGTAAACATTTTGTTGTGTGCTTTTGCAAACCATACTTATCTCCACTAATTTGACAGTTAGTGTATAATATATTAATAAAAATCTTCCAAAAAAGTTTTATTTTCATATACTAATAAAACAACTTTTGGATTCAACCTTATGAACTCCAGTACTGGCTCAGACATCAGACTAAGTAAGGCCCTGCATTTTCAAATTTCTAAAAAAAATTTGATAAACTTTTGCAAATATTTTGGGGCCCACTAATAACTTACCCAGGACCCTTCAAAACTTCAGCTGGCCCTGATGAATCCAATTCTTTAAATCATTCTGTTATTACCTTGCAAATAGAACACGTGTCAAATTCCAAACTTTTATAATTTATTAAAAAATTATATAATATAATATAAGCAAAGCAAAATTTCAAATACTGTTTTAAACATCTTCATGAGTTAGATGTATTTTCAGTGACTTAGAGGAAAATACTTTACATTACATTATCCCCAAGCATATTTTGAATTGAAATATCTGATTAGTTGCAAATGCAAATCACAATCATTCTTCTAAAATTTATTGACTAATTCATATTAATTTGTTTTTTATCGTTTTTTTTATAAATGTCTACAATAGTCTATGATAACTTAGTGCTTAGCAACTGCAACACATTCCTTAATATTTAAGATGAATGCAATATCATATAAATGTAAATCATTGTAATGCTGAGCAATTATCATCATTTATTTAAATTTCATTACAAAACAGCTGATATTATTACATGATAAATGAAATATCCAAATCTATACTTGTCAACAAATATAAAAACTAAATATAATCTAAATTCCAAACTCATAGATTTAAAATTTTTACTTACATCATCTTTATTGAGACTAATATTTCTTAAATATTATAAAAATTTGAATATAAATGCAAACTAATATTAATTTATTTAGTTTTTAAAAAATTAAATCATTTATAATTTTAAATAGGCATGTCAAGTTGTTTTGACACTTCAAGATTTATTTCAAGCTGTTTTAGAAAAAAAGAAGCAAGCAATGGAAAGTGCCAAACAATTACAGTTTTCAAAGAATTCTAATGATGATGATGAGAAAAAAGAAGTAAGAAATATTCATTGCTTAATTAAAAAATGATTAAAATTAGTAAATTACATTATTAAGTAGATATTATTTTTTAAATAAAATATGTTGTGGTGAAATTGAGAAAGAAATAAATTATTTAAACATTCACATGTTTCTATGTATATTATAATTTTTCCAACATATAGAAAATTATATATACCATATAAGAAAGCATCCATTAATTGTTTCATAATTAATAAATTTTTAATGAGATTGAGAGTATTTAATCATTAAAATAAATAACTTTATTTAAAATTATTTAAATTAATTTATTAAAAATTAATGTATTATTTAATTTCATAAACAAGGAAAAATAGTTTTTCTTTAAGTTTAATTCATGCTGTTGAAGTAATACTTGGAATGCATGAATCAATAAAAATTTCTATAATTATAGATAATCATCAATAGTTTTTCTATTTAAATGAAATTATTTAAACAGCTTTTATCTGTTTATTTTGCTTTTCTGTTAATCAGTTTATTGTGATTTTAACTGTAAATTTGTCCATATATCCTTAATAGTCAAAACTTCTAAAACTTTTTGTCTGCTATTAAATTTGAGATTGTTATCAATATAATATTGCTTTTTTAATGTGTATCTCTCACTGTATCTAGATCAGAAGAGTGTAATGGAAATAGATTTCTAATTTGTTATAAATTACAGCTTATTCTTACTTTTAATAAGCTGACAAATAGATTAATATGACAAACTGAGTTGTTTCAACTCAAAATTGATATCAGCTAAAACTATATCTAACAACATTTTTAATTATTTCAATAAATAAAGAACATATTTTCAGATGGAAAATAATAATAAAAATAAAAATGTGAAATCGGAACAAAACACAGATGAAAAAGAAAATTCAGAATCTATTTATAGTGTGAGTGAATTATTCAGTATTTAATAAATCTAACATTATTATTAAAATAAAGTATTTTGAGAATTAATATTTTTCTTTTTAATAGGATGTAATTAGCTCATCATCTGTAGAAAATGTTCCTCCTGAAAACAACAAATCTGTCTCTTCTCTGCCAAAACCACAGTCTAATGTTGATGATTTATTATGTTTACAATTAGAAGTAGATAAACTTCAAGAAGTATGAATATATTTTGAAATTCATTCAGTTCTTTGCCTTGATACAAGATAATCAGTCTTAGAAAGTAAATTTTAAAAATTTACTTTATTATGTAGCAAAGAATCTACTTTCATAAAAATATTTTTATATTTTGTAATACCAGATATATCATTTAATAATATCTATCTTATAAAAACTAAGTTAAAAGGTGATATCCAAAATACTCCAAATTGATTCTATAAAAAAAGTAAAATCTCATCATAACTCATTGGCTATCCACTATATTTGAAGTAGTTCCCCTTGCACATGGATACATCGGTCCCAGCAGTTTCTCCACTGCTGGAATGTTCCCTGGAAGTCTTTTTTGCCAAAAGTGTCAAGCATCACCTGCAATCTTTCTGGATGTCTTTAATGGTATTAAAACTTGTTCCCAAAAATGAAGATTGAGATAAAGAAGTCACAGGACCTAATCTGACGAGGATGGGGACACCCTCCTTACTCATCAGATTGTAAAACAGCCTTGTTATTGTTGACCAAACTAAGTTACTAGGTGTTGAACACACTGAGAAGACAACATTGTCATGATGAAGCAGCCACTTGTTGTATTGTCAAAACTAGCCTTTTCACATCTTTGCAGTCTCCATAATAGAATTTGGAATTGACCAGCAAGGATGAATTCTTTGTGCACAATCCTATTGATACCAAAAAACTGATTAGCCTGCTCTTGATACTGTTGTCTGGCCTCTTAGACTTGGTGAGTCTGGACTTTTCCACAGGGATGATTGCTGCTTTGTCTCAAGATCATAACCGTAAACTCAGTCCAGTATTCACCAATTAATAACTCTGACAAGAAAGCTTCATCCTCTGAAGCAAGTTGAAAAAGCTCACTGCAGACTTCAATATGTTGCTGAATTTGATCACTTGTCAAAGTCCTGGGCCAAATTTGGCTGTAATGCAGTATGAAATGAAATATCCAAATCCATAGTTGTCAACAAACAGAAAAACTAAATGTTATCTAAATTCTAAATTCATAGAATTCTATAACTAATTTCCTGGTCTGATTCTCATGAATGAGCTGCTGAATTTTTGCAACTGTTTGAGGAATTGTGCTGGCTGAGAGCTTTCCTGTATGGTTGTCATTGTCAATTGATGTTTGACCATACATGTCACCAAAACACTTGTGTACAACCAAGTAATTGTTCCCCAAATACTTGTTCAACCATTGTCAGGGTTTCTGCTGCCCTTTTATCAAGATTTGTGCAAAATTTGATGCAAACCTACTATTTCCTCTTTTTATATCATCATGAAAACTGCCAAACAATGCATGTCACTATTTGCTGCTTCTGCCAAGCTCTGCACTATCTAGCACACATATTCACAACACATGCTAGTACTATTAGCTCGTGATGCATTGCAATACTATAACTTGTTTAGGTGACACAACTCCATCTGAAATATTCTGGTTGCCACCTCATAAATAAAATTCCAAAATTTAATATGATTGTATGTATAATATTCTAAGTTTAAATTACTAAAATTTCATCCTAAATTAGCAAACTATCTTATAAAAAAATATTTGTTCTATTATATATAGTTTCAAGTAAATTAGATAAAATCTGGTTTATCTTGAATTGAGGCATAAAATTTTATTGGTCGCAATTATTATTAATAAACTATTATAATGGAATATTAAATTTTCCATTTATATGATTTAATATTTTTAATTTAGAATATAGAACAAATGGATAGTAGTATGGCAGCTGTTTCAGAATTGAATTATCCTTTTATGCCTGATCCTTTTAATACATCAACATTTGTACTTTATCCTCAGAAGGTAATTTAAATAGCATTTTGTATCTTTAAACTTTAGAAAATATTTTAAATTTTAATTCATTTTTTGTAGGATATATATGAGTCTACAGCATCAACATCTTCATCTGAAGATCAGTCTGTTGGGTCTCCATTTCCAGATTCAAAAGTGAACCAAAAATTGGAAGAAACATCCTCTTTCTATGTTACCTATTCTGATAATGATAAATATTCTGTATTTAGTAACATAGATACAATTTCTAGTATATTTGAGAATTCACAAAGTTCTTTATCAACAACAAATCAAGATGATGAGCAGATTAATGTTTCAACATCAGATTCCGTTTCCACTCAAACAAATAGTCAAGCATCACCACCAAAACCTCCAAGACTACCACAAAATGATTTATTTGCAGATTTGGATCCTTTAGGTAAAGATCGTCCTTTTCTAGATAAAAAAGATTTTTTTCATGATATTAAAAATCCTCCAAAAAAAGTTTTGAAAGATCTTGTAGATAAAACTGTAAGTGCTTTCACCAGTGAACCAACTAAATTTTATACATCTCAATCAGCACCAGAATCAACTGAAGTGAGTACATGTTTTCAGTCTTATGATGCCACTTGTCCTCCTTTTTCTTGTGATTTCAATAATATATCAACCCAACAGACACCTTCTCATTCTAGTAATTCATTGCCTTCATCTCTTCCAAATTCTTCCAAAAGACTTTCTTCTTTTCCATTAAATGATAATAAATCATCTGGAAATCCATTTACTGAAAATAGTACTGGAACTGTTATTCTGCCACCGCCGCCACCACTACCGCCAAGACTTACAAATAGATCTTCCGAGCCAAATATTCAAATTCCCCTATCATTAAAATCTGAAAATGCAATTTATGCATCACCAACCTCTGCTTCAACTGGAAATGTGCCATTAAATTATAGAAGAGGTTCCTTACCAGCAAATCAGGTTATATCTGAATTTTCTCAAAACAATACATCAATATCTGTAAATTCTAGCTCCAGTCATCCTATTCCAATACCAACTCGAAAACTACCTGTTAATTCTCAACAGATAGGTAGTTACAATGGACAAAATCATATTGGTGAATCCAAAAAACTTACCAGGTCTTTTGAACAGGAATCTCCAAATGTAGATTTTTTTGGATGTGGTTTTGGTGAATCATTAAACAATCCAAATCAAATATACAATTCTGTAGAAAATCAAGATATAAATCATTCATTACAAAAATCCAATAAAAAGAATCAAGTGATAAATAAAACTTCATTAAATAATTCAACAGAAAAAACCTTTATACTTCCACCTCCTGAATCACAAATAAAATTAAATAATTTAACTAAATTCAAGAAAATGAATGGAATAGTGAATGATAACAGTACAACAAAGTTATCACCTATTTCACGTTTACCTGGTGTTACATCACAATATCAAGTTTTGTCTGAAATCTGTTTGCAAAATGGAAACATGTCATCTTGTTCTGAATCTACAAATATAAATTCTAATAATTCTTCAATGTCAAACTCTGGAAACATTTTTAATAGAAAAAAAGATCCTTTTGCTGATGATTTTTTTGCAGCATTACCAAAGAAACTTAATGGTTACCAGTCTGTGCCAAATGAACTATGAAAGCATTTATATAGAAGACTAATTTTTAAGAGGTTTGTGCCTTGTTTTCAAAAACATATTTGAACTTTGCATGATTGCATTCTATCATGGAACTATCATTAATCAATATAACAATTTTAACATTACTAACCAAATGGAAAAGAATAGAGAAAACTTATTCCATTCTTTCTTTGTATCATTAAAAGAATTTCTTATAGTTCTGTTTGTAATATAATTCCATAAACACTTTCAATGTACTAACTATTACTACCATTTAACTTTAATCTTTATTTTTCTATCTTCTGTTAATGTATAAATCATTAAAAATAATAAGTTAATAATATATATTTTTACAGATTTATAATTAATTATTAGTATGATCTAATTAATATTCAATAATATTTTTCAGGAACCAATTTATGGAAAAATTAATAAGATCAAGAAAGAAGAGTAAATAATTATATGTATCTATATACATATATATATAGTTTAATCACTTCATAAGAAGTATAGTCAAATGTATGAAAATTATTTTATCTAAAGAATATTTTTAATATTAAAATATAAAAAGTTTCTAATAGAAATTTTATAAATTGTAGATATATAATATATTTGTACATTTGAAGCTAAAATATAGAAAAAGAACTACATTAAATATATATTTAGACAAGAATTTGTTATATATAAATGTATAAAATTTGATTGCCAGTAAAATAACTAAATAATTATAATTCAACTAATATAGTTAAAATTTACTAGAGTTTATATATATTGTTATCTTCCTTTAAAATTTATATCCCTATGAACTTTTTAAAAAGAAATTTAAATGGATTTGTTTGTATTTATATTTTGTAGAAGTTGTATGATTTTAATAAAAGTACAATGAATGTTCCTATTAGCGTAATCATCATTCAAATTTTATTTAAATACATTAGAAAATGTTTAAATACTTCTTAAATTCACAGTTCCAATATTCTCCTCTGCAAAATTTATTCTTCCATAATTCTCTTCATGATATTTTGAAGAAAACTGTCAGAATTTTCATTTTCAAAATCAAAAGTTAAGAATTCTTGATAAATAGTTACATATCTGAAAAAGAAATCATAAATATCATTAATTATTGTTTATCTAATATGTATAATCAAATATAATATACATAACTGTTCTAATTTTTTCTCACTTGCAATATTTTTTATGGGAATAATTTCTTTATTATTTTTTAACATATTGGCAATCTGTAAAATGAAAATTTTAAATTATACTTTTCTTGTATTTTTCTATTTATATGGTGTTTTATTCTGTAATACTTCTTTTCCTCTGTCCACTAATTTAGAAGGAATTCCAGCTAATGTAGCCACATGATGTGCATAGCTTCCATCTGTTTTACCATCTTTTAGTTGATACAAAAATATCAAGTTTCCATCTTCAAGCAATGTATCCATTGTCTATTTAAAATAAAATGCAATATACTTATATTAATGTGATGGATAAATAATTTTAATTTGACTAACCTGATAACAAAGCTGTTCTGAAGAGTTTACAATATTTAAAAGAGAATGAAAATGTGTTGAAACAAAACAATGTGGACAATTAACATTTTCTTTCAGCCAAAATTGCAAACTTGATGCTAAGAGAGCTAATCCATCCATCTACAATGTAAATTAATTATACTAGGGTAACTAATTTGCATTGTAGATACGTGGTTTGTCCATAACCACATGTCCAATTTTAGGTTAAGTTTAAACTTTCCCCTTGGTGGTCAATATATTCTCTAGCCCAAAAAAACACCATGTGGAAATTTTAAAACTTCCCCTTTTTGGAAAAGTTTCATTATGCTATCCAAACAGAAATACACAAGCTACACTTGAAATATATTTTTAATGTCATGAATTGGCTTTTTTCCATATTGGCTCCAATGTGTCTTTGATTTGAACTACAGCTGTACTGTATTTTTACTAATCTTTCTTCAAATCTTCCAGAAAATCAGTAATGGATTATGTTCCTTTTAGGTCCTAGGTGTAATTTTCTTATAAGACCATTTATGTAAAAGTTTTCTTTTTTTTAATTATTTGTTTATATTAACTCATAAATTGATTTCATTGTATTTTTATGTCACTGTTCTCCTCAGGGTGTAAAATATACACTTTTTAGAGGCATATTATCTTTTTGCTATGTAATTTTTGAGGCCCCTTGAGACGACAAGGCTTAAGGGGCCTCAATAAGTACATGACTCTAAATGCTCTAAATAAGTACATGACTAGTGCACCTACTGAGTAATTGGCCACTATAGATGATTAAATCCTTTTCCATTCATTTCTTCCAATTTGTGAATATTTTATGACCTTATGCTTGTTTAATTTTATATTAAAAGTTATTTTAAAAATTTGTATTGTTATTCTCCAGAGTCTCATTCCTCTAAATTAACAGTTTTTCTATCTTTGAAATAAAAAAAGGAATTTAATTTTTGTACACTGTTGTTTTGAAACTTCTTCGATAGTTTTTAAAAGACCATACTTTTCTGCAAATAGCACTTTCACTTAACAAAGATCATACATTGATGTTGCAAGAAAATCTGCTAATTTAATTACTTAACTGTAAAAATCTCAATATATTATTAAATACAGTAATAATTTTTTTCAAATTCATTTTAATAAAACAATTATAACTGTGTGATTTTTTTTTTTTTTTTTTTATTTTCACCAACCCTCCTCTTATGTAAACTTTCTTATACTCATCCCTCCACTAAACCAGGAAATATGGTTTATGGACAAACCCTTATATCTGATTAAAATCAAAAAAACTTTGTTGTTTACTGCTTCTGTTCCTTTTCCAAATTCATCAATTATAACTAAAGAATTAGAAGTAGCATAATGAAGAGCAACAGACATCTGTTAATGAAATAAAAAGTATTACAATTTCAAAAATGTATAAATTAAACTCAAGAGCATCACGTGCACGCGCAGAAACTTTCCAAACAGACGTAACTAACAATAGCCATTCTTACGAAAAGCATAAACGTTAAAGAAAATTTGTACCACAATATTACAATTTCAAAAATGTATAAATTAAACTCAAGAGCATCACGTGCACGCGCAGAAACTTTCCAAACAGACGTAACTAACAATAGCCATTCTTACGAAAAGCATAAACGTTAAAGAAAATTTGTACCACAATATTACAATTTCAAAAATGTCTAAAATAATCATAATTTTGAAATGAAGTGAAATAAAATAACTTGTTTTAAAATTTGTAGTTAATAATTTGCTGCTGAATAAAAGTTTGTTAACTACAAAATCTCGCACTTTTCATTAAATCTATATGTATCTATTGGGACTAACACAAATAATGTTATGAAAGGATTACCATAATTTTGTGCAGATAATCCATGAGTTTTCCATACTTAATCCACACCTGCTTACAAAGTGACTTTTATGTTGTGGAAAGTGGGTGCAATTTTAAATTGCAATTATAAACTCATCAGTTTTTCCTTTATCAAGGCTTTTCAATCCTTTATTGGAGTCGGAAAAAATGTGTTGACTCCGACTCTCACATTTTAAATTTACATTCTGGCCAGAAATTCCTCCTGACTCAGACTCCACAGCCCTGCTNAAATGTGAAGGGTTCTATGATTTAGAAAACTTAACATCTTGGGCATTCATTCTTATATTTACTTCTATTTTATACTAAATAAATTGATAAGGGTAAGATGGTTTTAGCAAAAAAGTTTTATGGTTCAAGTCATCTGCTGTCTTGTATAAAAGGATCTCAATCTCTTAAATCCATCACTAAATATAACAGTATTTATAGAAAGTAATTTTATTTAATTAAATAAAAAAGCCAATAAATGAAAAATAAATCCGTTTTTACTTTAAATTGTAATCTAACAAATTAATCATTTAATGAATTAAAATACATTTTATCTTTATTCAGTTCTTACATATTGGCTAATTCTAATTTGAGTTTCTTGAATGGCTACATTTACATCAATTTATATTATTTGCTTCTATATTTAGGGAAAAACTCTTGTAAACATTTTGTTGTGTGCTTTTGCAAACCATACTTATCTCCACTAATTTGACAGTTAGTGTATAATATATTAATAAAAATCTTCCAAAAAAGTTTTATTTTCATATACTAATAAAACAACTTTTGGATTCAACCTTATGAACTCCAGTACTGGCTCAGACATCAGACTAAGTAAGGCCCTGCATTTTCAAATTTCTAAAAAAAATTTGATAAACTTTTGCAAATATTTTGGGGCCCACTAATAACTTACCCAGGACCCTTCAAAACTTCAGCTGGCCCTGATGAATCCAATTCTTTAAATCATTCTGTTATTACCTTGCAAATAGAACACGTGTCAAATTCCAAACTTTTATAATTTATTAAAAAATTATATAATATAATATAAGCAAAGCAAAATTTCAAATACTGTTTTAAACATCTTCATGAGTTAGATGTATTTTCAGTGACTTAGAGGAAAATACTTTACATTACATTATCCCCAAGCATATTTTGAATTGAAATATCCGATTAGTTGCAAATGCAAATCACAATCATTCTTCTAAAATTTATTGACTAATTCATATTAATTTGTTTTTTATCGTTTTTTTTATAAATGTCTACAATAGTCTATGATAACTTAGTGCTTAGCAACTGCAACACATTCCTTAATATTTAAGATGAATGCAATATCATATAAATGTAAATCATTGTAATGCTGAGCAATTATCATCATTTATTTAAATTTCATTACAAAACAGCTGATATTATTACATGATAAATGAAATATCCAAATCTATACTTGTCAACAAATATAAAAACTAAATATAATCTAAATTCCAAACTCATAGATTTAAAATTTTTACTTACATCATCTTTATTGAGACTAATATTTCTTAAATATTATAAAAATTTGAATATAAATGCAAACTAATATTAATTTATTTAGTTTTTAAAAAATTAAATCATTTATAATTTTAAATAGGCATGTCAAGTTGTTTTGACACTTCAAGATTTATTTCAAGCTGTTTTAGAAAAAAAGAAGCAAGCAATGGAAAGTGCCAAACAATTACAGTTTTCAAAGAATTCTAATGATGATGATGAGAAAAAAGAAGTAAGAAATATTCATTGCTTAATTAAAAAATGATTAAAATTAGTAAATTACATTATTAAGTAGATATTATTTTTTAAATAAAATATGTTGTGGTGAAATTGAGAAAGAAATAAATTATTTAAACATTCACATGTTTCTATGTATATTATAATTTTTCCAACATATAGAAAATTATATATACCATATAAGAAAGCATCCATTAATTGTTTCATAATTAATAAATTTTTAATGAGATTGAGAGTATTTAATCATTAAAATAAATAACTTTATTTAAAATTATTTAAATTAATTTATTAAAAATTAATGTATTATTTAATTTCATAAACAAGGAAAAATAGTTTTTCTTTAAGTTTAATTCATGCTGTTGAAGTAATACTTGGAATGCATGAATCAATAAAAATTTCTATAATTATAGATAATCATCAATAGTTTTTCTATTTAAATGAAATTATTTAAACAGCTTTTATCTGTTTATTTTGCTTTTCTGTTAATCAGTTTATTGTGATTTTAACTGTAAATTTGTCCATATATCCTTAATAGTCAAAACTTCTAAAACTTTTTGTCTGCTATTAAATTTGAGATTGTTATCAATATAATATTGCTTTTTTAATGTGTATCTCTCACTGTATCTAGATCAGAAGAGTGTAATGGAAATAGATTTCTAATTTGTTATAAATTACAGCTTATTCTTACTTTTAATAAGCTGACAAATAGATTAATATGACAAACTGAGTTGTTTCAACTCAAAATTGATATCAGCTAAAACTATATCTAACAACATTTTTAATTATTTCAATAAATAAAGAACATATTTTCAGATGGAAAATAATAATAAAAATAAAAATGTGAAATCGGAACAAAACACAGATGAAAAAGAAAATTCAGAATCTATTTATAGTGTGAGTGAATTATTCAGTATTTAATAAATCTAACATTATTATTAAAATAAAGTATTTTGAGAATTAATATTTTTCTTTTTAATAGGATGTAATTAGCTCATCATCTGTAGAAAATGTTCCTCCTGAAAACAACAAATCTGTCTCTTCTCTGCCAAAACCACAGTCTAATGTTGATGATTTATTATGTTTACAATTAGAAGTAGATAAACTTCAAGAAGTATGAATATATTTTGAAATTCATTCAGTTCTTTGCCTTGATACAAGATAATCAGTCTTAGAAAGTAAATTTTAAAAATTTACTTTATTATGTAGCAAAGAATCTACTTTCATAAAAATATTTTTATATTTTGTAATACCAGATATATCATTTAATAATATCTATCTTATAAAAACTAAGTTAAAAGGTGATATCCAAAATACTCCAAATTGATTCTATAAAAAAAGTAAAATCTCATCATAACTCATTGGCTATCCACTATATTTGAAGTAGTTCCCCTTGCACATGGATACATCGGTCCCAGCAGTTTCTCCACTGCTGGAATGTTCCCTGGAAGTCTTTTTTGCCAAAAGTGTCAAGCATCACCTGCAATCTTTCTGGATGTCTTTAATGGTATTAAAACTTGTTCCCAAAAATGAAGATTGAGATAAAGAAGTCACAGGACCTAATCTGACGAGGATGGGGACACCCTCCTTACTCATCAGATTGTAAAACAGCCTTGTTATTGTTGACCAAACTAAGTTACTAGGTGTTGAACACACTGAGAAGACAACATTGTCATGATGAAGCAGCCACTTGTTGTATTGTCAAAACTAGCCTTTTCACATCTTTGCAGTCTCCATAATAGAATTTGGAATTGACCAGCAAGGATGAATTCTTTGTGCACAATCCTATTGATACCAAAAAACTGATTAGCCTGCTCTTGATACTGTTGTCTGGCCTCTTAGACTTGGTGAGTCTGGACTTTTCCACAGGGATGATTGCTGCTTTGTCTCAAGATCATAACCGTAAACTCAGTCCAGTATTCACCAATTAATAACTCTGACAAGAAAGCTTCATCCTCTGAAGCAAGTTGAAAAAGCTCACTGCAGACTTCAATATGTTGCTGAATTTGATCACTTGTCAAAGTCCTGGGCCAAATTTGGCTGTAATGCAGTATGAAATGAAATATCCAAATCCATAGTTGTCAACAAACAGAAAAACTAAATGTTATCTAAATTCTAAATTCATAGAATTCTATAACTAATTTCCTGGTCTGATTCTCATGAATGAGCTGCTGAATTTTTGCAACTGTTTGAGGAATTGTGCTGGCTGAGAGCTTTCCTGTATGGTTGTCATTGTCAATTGATGTTTGACCATACATGTCACCAAAACACTTGTGTACAACCAAGTAATTGTTCCCCAAATACTTGTTCAACCATTGTCAGGGTTTCTGCTGCCCTTTTATCAAGATTTGTGCAAAATTTGATGCAAACCTACTATTTCCTCTTTTTATATCATCATGAAAACTGCCAAACAATGCATGTCACTATTTGCTGCTTCTGCCAAGCTCTGCACTATCTAGCACACATATTCACAACACATGCTAGTACTATTAGCTCGTGATGCATTGCAATACTATAACTTGTTTAGGTGACACAACTCCATCTGAAATATTCTGGTTGCCACCTCATAAATAAAATTCCAAAATTTAATATGATTGTATGTATAATATTCTAAGTTTAAATTACTAAAATTTCATCCTAAATTAGCAAACTATCTTATAAAAAAATATTTGTTCTATTATATATAGTTTCAAGTAAATTAGATAAAATCTGGTTTATCTTGAATTGAGGCATAAAATTTTATTGGTCGCAATTATTATTAATAAACTATTATAATGGAATATTAAATTTTCCATTTATATGATTTAATATTTTTAATTTAGAATATAGAACAAATGGATAGTAGTATGGCAGCTGTTTCAGAATTGAATTATCCTTTTATGCCTGATCCTTTTAATACATCAACATTTGTACTTTATCCTCAGAAGGTAATTTAAATAGCATTTTGTATCTTTAAACTTTAGAAAATATTTTAAATTTTAATTCATTTTTTGTAGGATATATATGAGTCTACAGCATCAACATCTTCATCTGAAGATCAGTCTGTTGGGTCTCCATTTCCAGATTCAAAAGTGAACCAAAAATTGGAAGAAACATCCTCTTTCTATGTTACCTATTCTGATAATGATAAATATTCTGTATTTAGTAACATAGATACAATTTCTAGTATATTTGAGAATTCACAAAGTTCTTTATCAACAACAAATCAAGATGATGAGCAGATTAATGTTTCAACATCAGATTCCGTTTCCACTCAAACAAATAGTCAAGCATCACCACCAAAACCTCCAAGACTACCACAAAATGATTTATTTGCAGATTTGGATCCTTTAGGTAAAGATCGTCCTTTTCTAGATAAAAAAGATTTTTTTCATGATATTAAAAATCCTCCAAAAAAAGTTTTGAAAGATCTTGTAGATAAAACTGTAAGTGCTTTCACCAGTGAACCAACTAAATTTTATACATCTCAATCAGCACCAGAATCAACTGAAGTGAGTACATGTTTTCAGTCTTATGATGCCACTTGTCCTCCTTTTTCTTGTGATTTCAATAATATATCAACCCAACAGACACCTTCTCATTCTAGTAATTCATTGCCTTCATCTCTTCCAAATTCTTCCAAAAGACTTTCTTCTTTTCCATTAAATGATAATAAATCATCTGGAAATCCATTTACTGAAAATAGTACTGGAACTGTTATTCTGCCACCGCCGCCACCACTACCGCCAAGACTTACAAATAGATCTTCCGAGCCAAATATTCAAATTCCCCTATCATTAAAATCTGAAAATGCAATTTATGCATCACCAACCTCTGCTTCAACTGGAAATGTGCCATTAAATTATAGAAGAGGTTCCTTACCAGCAAATCAGGTTATATCTGAATTTTCTCAAAACAATACATCAATATCTGTAAATTCTAGCTCCAGTCATCCTATTCCAATACCAACTCGAAAACTACCTGTTAATTCTCAACAGATAGGTAGTTACAATGGACAAAATCATATTGGTGAATCCAAAAAACTTACCAGGTCTTTTGAACAGGAATCTCCAAATGTAGATTTTTTTGGATGTGGTTTTGGTGAATCATTAAACAATCCAAATCAAATATACAATTCTGTAGAAAATCAAGATATAAATCATTCATTACAAAAATCCAATAAAAAGAATCAAGTGATAAATAAAACTTCATTAAATAATTCAACAGAAAAAACCTTTATACTTCCACCTCCTGAATCACAAATAAAATTAAATAATTTAACTAAATTCAAGAAAATGAATGGAATAGTGAATGATAACAGTACAACAAAGTTATCACCTATTTCACGTTTACCTGGTGTTACATCACAATATCAAGTTTTGTCTGAAATCTGTTTGCAAAATGGAAACATGTCATCTTGTTCTGAATCTACAAATATAAATTCTAATAATTCTTCAATGTCAAACTCTGGAAACATTTTTAATAGAAAAAAAGATCCTTTTGCTGATGATTTTTTTGCAGCATTACCAAAGAAACTTAATGGTTACCAGTCTGTGCCAAATGAACTATGAAAGCATTTATATAGAAGACTAATTTTTAAGAGGTTTGTGCCTTGTTTTCAAAAACATATTTGAACTTTGCATGATTGCATTCTATCATGGAACTATCATTAATCAATATAACAATTTTAACATTACTAACCAAATGGAAAAGAATAGAGAAAACTTATTCCATTCTTTCTTTGTATCATTAAAAGAATTTCTTATAGTTCTGTTTGTAATATAATTCCATAAACACTTTCAATGTACTAACTATTACTACCATTTAACTTTAATCTTTATTTTTCTATCTTCTGTTAATGTATAAATCATTAAAAATAATAAGTTAATAATATATATTTTTACAGATTTATAATTAATTATTAGTATGATCTAATTAATATTCAATAATATTTTTCAGGAACCAATTTATGGAAAAATTAATAAGATCAAGAAAGAAGAGTAAATAATTATATGTATCTATATACATATATATATAGTTTAATCACTTCATAAGAAGTATAGTCAAATGTATGAAAATTATTTTATCTAAAGAATATTTTTAATATTAAAATATAAAAAGTTTCTAATAGAAATTTTATAAATTGTAGATATATAATATATTTGTACATTTGAAGCTAAAATATAGAAAAAGAACTACATTAAATATATATTTAGACAAGAATTTGTTATATATAAATGTATAAAATTTGATTGCCAGTAAAATAACTAAATAATTATAATTCAACTAATATAGTTAAAATTTACTAGAGTTTATATATATTGTTATCTTCCTTTAAAATTTATATCCCTATGAACTTTTTAAAAAGAAATTTAAATGGATTTGTTTGTATTTATATTTTGTAGAAGTTGTATGATTTTAATAAAAGTACAATGAATGTTCCTATTAGCGTAATCATCATTCAAATTTTATTTAAATACATTAGAAAATGTTTAAATACTTCTTAAATTCACAGTTCCAATATTCTCCTCTGCAAAATTTATTCTTCCATAATTCTCTTCATGATATTTTGAAGAAAACTGTCAGAATTTTCATTTTCAAAATCAAAAGTTAAGAATTCTTGATAAATAGTTACATATCTGAAAAAGAAATCATAAATATCATTAATTATTGTTTATCTAATATGTATAATCAAATATAATATACATAACTGTTCTAATTTTTTCTCACTTGCAATATTTTTTATGGGAATAATTTCTTTATTATTTTTTAACATATTGGCAATCTGTAAAATGAAAATTTTAAATTATACTTTTCTTGTATTTTTCTATTTATATGGTGTTTTATTCTGTAATACTTCTTTTCCTCTGTCCACTAATTTAGAAGGAATTCCAGCTAATGTAGCCACATGATGTGCATAGCTTCCATCTGTTTTACCATCTTTTAGTTGATACAAAAATATCAAGTTTCCATCTTCAAGCAATGTATCCATTGTCTATTTAAAATAAAATGCAATATACTTATATTAATGTGATGGATAAATAATTTTAATTTGACTAACCTGATAACAAAGCTGTTCTGAAGAGTTTACAATATTTAAAAGAGAATGAAAATGTGTTGAAACAAAACAATGTGGACAATTAACATTTTCTTTCAGCCAAAATTGCAAACTTGATGCTAAGAGAGCTAATCCATCCATCTACAATGTAAATTAATTATACTAGGGTAACTAATTTGCATTGTAGATACGTGGTTTGTCCATAACCACATGTCCAATTTTAGGTTAAGTTTAAACTTTCCCCTTGGTGGTCAATATATTCTCTAGCCCAAAAAAACACCATGTGGAAATTTTAAAACTTCCCCTTTTTGGAAAAGTTTCATTATGCTATCCAAACAGAAATACACAAGCTACACTTGAAATATATTTTTAATGTCATGAATTGGCTTTTTTCCATATTGGCTCCAATGTGTCTTTGATTTGAACTACAGCTGTACTGTATTTTTACTAATCTTTCTTCAAATCTTCCAGAAAATCAGTAATGGATTATGTTCCTTTTAGGTCCTAGGTGTAATTTTCTTATAAGACCATTTATGTAAAAGTTTTCTTTTTTTTAATTATTTGTTTANTCAATTTAATTTATTAAATATGTAGTATTCTTTGTAGTATTTGTGTTTAGTAGTTAAATTATTTTGACTCAACTGAATTTGAATATTTTTGAATCATTCCTTTATTATCCCTGCTCTAAATAAGTACTCTATTTTTCTGAATGAGGCAGACTAATTGATCAGAGTACATATTTTTTCTTTTCTGAACAAGGGGCTGAAGTAGCTAGCTAGATTGCACCTTTTTAGTTGGACTAACTCTTCTGGAAGGATGAAATTGAAGTGCAAATGCTGTCGAATATATTTAGATGTAGAATTTTATCACCCCCTTTCTTGTCTTGTTAAATATTTGTTAAAAATTAATTTTATTTACAAATACATATTAATGTAAGTTAAATATTAACTATAAAAGTTTTGGGTAAATGCCCTAGGCTCCTTTCAGAGTTCAGAGTAGGGTACCCCCTATGAGCACCTCTGTCCCCTATAAAATGACTTGGTATTTAATTTTGCTGGAGTTGGAGTCGGCCTACTAAAATTATCATGAGTCGGAGTCAAATGTTTTTTACTGACTCCGCAGCCCTGATCTAAAGTCACTAAAAGCATTTTTGGAAAAATGTGAAAAATCCTTCAGACATATTCATCTGCCATCATGATTTTTCCTGAAACCATCATAAACCTGTATATTTTTACCTCACTTTTAGTTATCCCCATTTAATTGATATTATTAGATATTCTTATTTGAATTCATATCTTGAAAGTTGATAAAGTAATATTATCCTTTATCTATATAATGGCATCACCTCAGAGAATTCTGATGATTAAGACCCACAATGCAATGATTGTCATCCTAATAAGTTATAAACTCATTGCTCTTTTCATCTATACAAAATGATTGTTGATTACTAAAAATAATTTTTACAGTACAACAAACACATTATTTTAAAAAATTATTTTTTAAATATATTTTCTCCAATGAAAAGTACTTGATAGTCCTGATGTTCCAACACACACAACTACAATGACACCATTGGTTCCCATTACATTAACTCCACATGGAGGCAGAGGAGTAATTACTTTAATTTTTCTAAAAGTAGTGATGGCTCCTAAAGTCAAGGATATTGAATAAAGCTATTCAGAGTTCAGACTACCTAAATGGCCTTCAGACAATATTTCCTCCTTGGATAAGGATAAGCTCTGAATATGGCAGCAAGTCAATGTTTCTATTCACTTTCCCAATTTTGATGTTCAATGAAGTTTGTTGTAAGCAGAGCTATTTTTCAGCAGAAATACACTGGTATGCTATATCAGCAAATAGCTTAAAAAGTATTAATAGCCACTACATAGTACCAATAGTTTCTCAGTGTGAAAAGTTCTCTATGTTCAGGTGAGAAGTTTGATGACTGCCATGATAAAAATGAACAAAATGAACTGGACCACTCTATCAGCCACAACAAATACTATGAGCCAATCAGAGCTGACATAAAAAGTAAATGGGTATACTCTCCCTTTCAGTAGAGGTCATCTTTTGACAAATGGACAATATTGTTTAGTAATTGCTTGTCTTTGCTATGTTCTTGTGAAGAAACAAGGTATGGAGAAGCATTAATGCTATTTTGAAAGAAAGGTAAAAACAAACTTAGTAAAAGGACACCATTCAGCAATAGACACTACATCCAAACAAGAATTATAGAAGATGGTGCAGATGGAGATATACAAACAATTTTGAAAACACTATAACCGTGTACATTTATAAAGAAAAAATAAATAATTAGTATTAAATAGTTTCTTTTAGTCACCATATAGGTGTACTAGCAGTAAATTTTTTTAAAAAAGAACACTGGTTTAACAATGTTTTATTTTGTTGTTGCAACAACAATCTAAAAAAGAGAGCAAGAAGCAATCAAATACTGAAGATAAGAAATACAGCTCTCCATGCAATTTGTATTAGATTGGCATAAAATGTCTCCCAATTGAAGAATATCTTCTACTTCAATAAATCTTGGTTTAACTGTACTCATAAAATAAACAGTATTTTCCTTTCTCCACAATAATGATAATGTAGTAAATTAAATTTTAAATTATTTTGATTAATTGGCATCACTACAGATGAGAGTAGAGTTGCCTGATTTAACATGTTTTTGGTATTTTAGTGCCTAAACTCATTTAATAAAAGAATTAGAAACAGAAATAGAAGAACCTCAGTCAGATGATGATTTATCAGTGAGTGATACAGAAGATGAGAATGTGGTATTTAGCAATCATAATACCAATATTGAAACTGAAGATGAAGTAAATGTTGATGTCTATGTAAGTAGTCATAAAAATAAATTTATGTCTAAAGATGGAAAATTTGTTTGGTCTAAACCAGTGTTTTTCAAAGGTTGCAAAGCCTTACTGGGGGTCGCAGGTAAAAGAAAAAGACAAGTGTTTGTAAATCCTACACTACAATTGGTTTTTCGATCGATATTTAGGTCTCAACAGAAAGAAAATTAAATACGTAATTTTTAAAATCACAGATATAGTTTTAATATAGCCCTGTGGGGTTGCCAGAATTTTTTAACTTGTAAAGGGGTTGCATATTCAAGAAGGTTGAAAAACACTGGTCTAAACAACCACTGCCAAAGACAAGGACTCAGAAAGAAAATATAGTCAATTATTTACCTAGGCACGAATATCAAAATTAATTTAGTTAGACCAAATTTCAGTCGTGAGTGATACCAACATAGATGAAATTCAGGCAATGATTGGTTTATTGTTACTTTCTGGTGCGTATACTTTACTTTATAAGGCTTTTCATGTGAATTCCAAAGATCTATGGGAAAGAGATGGTCCCCGTTTTTTCAGTAGCAATGACAAAATATTTTTGTTTTTGTTGCAATGCTTACGATTTGATGATGTATCAACTCAGGAAGAAAGATGAGATCAACTGACAAGTTAGCACTTATTAGAGAATTTATTTCAATCATAGAAGATAGGTATGAGAAGGCATATACCACTCACAAATATGTTACAATTGATGAACAATTAGTTGGCTTCTGCAATCGTTGTTCCTTTAGGCAGTATCTTCCAAACAAACTTAGGCATTAGGAAATAAAAATATTCATCATGGTTGATGCACAAGCATTCTATCTTGTAAAATTTGAAGTTTCTGTTGGAATTCAGCCTACAGGACCATTTTTGATGATTGAAATGAGTCCTACAGATGTTGTCTTAAGATTTGTTGAGCCTATAGCAGGTACTGGTCATAATATTAGTACAGATAACTGGTACATAAATATCCCCTTGACTCAGAAACTTCTACAGAAAAAAACTAACTTTAGTAGGGGCTATAAGAAAAAACAAAAATGAGATACCAGTACAATTTCAACTGAATAAAAACCATCCAGAAAACAGTCCTTTGTTTGGATTTACAAAGGACATAACATTAGTATATACAAACATCCCAAGAACCTGATGTATTAATAATCAACCAGTCAAATTAATCAGGCAGAAATTATGCTACAAATATTAATATAGAAAGGAAGGCTGTAATTCTAATTTTGATGTTACACCAGGAACTGGAAATTGACAAAACAAATGATTCAAATAAACCAGAAATAATAAATTTTTATAACTTAACAAAAGGTGTAGCAGATTCAAATGACCAATTATGTTCAAATTATAATGTCGGGAAAAAGACAAATAGGTGACCCCTTGCTTTATTTTATCACTTCTCAAATGTAACAATAATCAATTCATACATTATTCTTAAAAAAATACAGCAGAAAGATATTCTTGTGCAATATTTATTAAAAATTTGGCACATCAGTTTATTCAGCTACATGCAATAAAGCAGATATAAAATTCAAGAATTTCAAAAACACTAAAAGAAAAAGTAAAATTATACTTCGAAGGTGAAAGTATCAATTTTGAAATTCCTAGCACAAGCACCAACACAACTATTGGCAAAGACATCAGAACAAGTCAAAAAAGGAAAAGGTGCCATATCTGTCCAGGCACAAAAAATAATAAGTATGTGCAATGATGTAAAGTATGTGAAAAAACATGTTTGTAATAATTCAAAATGCAAAAACTAAGAAAACAATATATTATTATTAATATTAAAGATATTATTAACATAAGAAAGTTCTTTTAGAAAGTGTACAGGGATGTCTTGGTGTCGCAAATTACATTAATTAAATGTTTCATTATTTTAATAAATGTAAAGCATTCTCCTTAAAAAATTATATTTTAAAATTAGTTTAGTTTTTCTTAGATCATTTTTAACTAGGAAGATTCAGGTTCAGACTGATTTTGGATTTTGACATTTAACTTATAATGTAGAAATAATACGCTTTAAAACTTATGTTAAAGGAGACTAATTATAGTTACTATAGTACATGTTTTTCCATTCTGATATTCTCTAACTTTGTAGAAATAATGCTATTTGAGATCCAGCAATGCTAAACAAAGGGGATACTGTTTTAAAAATCTCATTTTGATAATAAATCTGTCTACAACAATATTTTTTCTTGTTCTACTAAATATTGCTATAGAGAGATTTAACTGTATATTAGTAAGCACAATTCATTATTCAATCACTATGAATTTTAGTTTCTGGTGGTCAACAAACTTTTGTCCACAGTATAATTATAAATTAATTAATGATTAATTCTATAATATCTATAATTTCATAATTAAATAGATTTTACTTGATTTATATCAATCATAAATGTGGATAAACCAACAGAAATAGATTCAACAGTATGTATTCTTGTAAATATATGGTCTATAATTGTAATCTTTGCCATTTCAGCAGGAACAAAACTGCCTATGTGAGCTAAATATACAATTAAAGCAACCTAGAAAATTAAAAATATTACATTTAAATTAATGTTTTAAATAAAAATAGATCAATTTAATTTTACCTGTTTAAGATAAACACTTTTACCAGAAGCATTGGGACCTGTTAATAGTTTTACTTTTCCATATTTTCCACCACTCATAGTATCATTCGGTACAAATGATGATACACAATGTTCTTGAAGTGGATGTCTATATTTTAGACAATAATAAATGTATAGTTCAATATTTGTAAATGTATAATGTATATGTTTCAGCCAGATTGTTAATTTAGCTGCTTTACAAAGCATCTAGCTTTTTTTATAATAAAGTTAACTAATTACATCACATTTCATAATGTGACTGGTTAATGTTTAGCTGTATTGTAAAGTGTCAAAATTCTCAGCCTCTTTACTAAAATGTGAATTATGCAATAGGATTAGGGGCAAAAATGTTATGAAGTACAAAAAACACACATTGTATAATCAAACTTATGTATTATAAACTTGAAAATTATAAAAATAAATAAATATATATAATATATATATATATAACCTACAGAGTGACAATGACTGGGAGTTTGCATCAAAGAATTTATAAGATGCATGAAATGCATCTTATAAATTCTTTGATGATTGGCTTCATCTTCATTATGATGCATATGTCATCAATGTATCATTTATATACTTTAATTCCTTCCCAATATTAAAGTATATAAGCGATACATTGATGACACATGCATCATATGGAAGACGAAGCCAATTCCTTCCCAATATTAAAGTACAAGGTGGTCTGTTAATGACTCAATGATACAATGCATTTTTTGATATTACACAAAATAGTGCCCAATCAACCATTTTGTTGAATTATTGTCATGCATCCAAGATCTAACTTGTAAGTATATTTCTGCATCTTGGTTACTACATTCTATAGTACCTTGTGTTTGTAAATGTTTAGAACTGCTATGCACAATTTTATATTCTGGTAACATATTTACAAATTCTTTGGGGATTTTGCTGCAAACTCCCGGTCATTGTCACTCGGTAGGTTATATGAAGCTCCAAACTGTAAAAAAGTTTTTAACAGGTCTACAGCTACTTCAGATGTCCTTTTTGATTGAAGTGGTCTAAGGTAGTATTTAGTAGCATTATCTTGATAGTTTAACAGCCATTTATACTCTGCATCTAGTGCTAACTGTAAATCAATTAAATTGACTTGTCCATTTTCATAAAATCATTAGAAACTATTGGTTGAGTTACATTACTTTTCTTTGGTATATTACATTTGGTTTTGCAGGCAGGACACAAAACAACAAATATTTCAACTGCCGTTTTTGTATATAAATCTGTTTTTAATATTGTATATCATTTTGTCACAATCACCATGTCCACAGAATTTATGCATGAAAATACTCTTCAATAGGTATGATACATACTGTAGGATTCTCAGGTAACTTTTTCTTAAAAATAAGATAATCTTTATTGGCTGTATTTATGGCATCATACTTTGAACACCATTGGTTGATTGTTGAAATTATCTTTAAACCCACTATATTCAGACAGATTTTGCACAGTTTCATTATTTGTTGTAATATTCAATATTTCTATTGGAACAGACATACTAGAAGAATTTGTGGCAGTCCATCATATTGTTTGCTTTATCTCCTCTATCAACCCCCTTGATTCCATTGTTCAATCCAATTTTTGTAAACTGTCTAGACCAACTCTTTTGTTGTATGATGTTGAGGTGGACTCCTGCTGAGAGAGACTAGTTTGGAGAGTATGATGGAAAGACTGGTGATGCAACTGGTCACTTTTCACTGGTACATGAACTGGAGCAGAAGTGGAAGGAGCTCAAGGAAGAAGACATCGAGGGCTTTCGAAACAACCCCAACAATTTGTTGAAGGATAGTGAGCAGAGATCAGCCTGTTGAATGAGTCCAGATAAAGAGGTCTAGTGAGGAATGTTCTGGAAGGTGATGTACACCAGAGTTAAGTATATTATGCCCCCTGCTGGCAAGAAGTTTGTTTTTATGTCTACTGAATTTTGTAATTATAATATCCATTGTGTCACACATATTATTAATTGTATCATTGTTAGCTACTAGAATTAAGTTTACAGTAAATTTATTGTACTTAGTTTTAAGTGTACTGGATAGTGTCTGCGCATTCACATAGCCAAGTATTGTCTCACTGGAAGTGGTTGATAGCTTGGGTCTCATGAGAACATTTGTATGCTTTGACATATTAAAATACTATTTTATTGTTAAGGTAAGACTATGTGTTACTTTTTGTTTTCACAGCCCCAACAAAGCACACACAAACTTTGAAATTTAACAATGTCATATTGATGAATGTCTCTTGGCACCTCAAGTGGTAAGAATCAGAACTAGGCCTAAATTTGACAATCTGGCAGTTTATTTAATGCTGCATTGTAAAACAGCTAATCATTTGGCCAGTCAAATTGTAGAACATGCAATGCCATTCAATCCAGTAGGATTTGGTTTAGTCTCTTTATAAAGTGGCTGAACATTGATTAACATTCTTATAAAATAAAACCATTTAATCAAACAGCTAAATGCTCTGTAAAGTGGCTAAATTAACAATCTTGCTGCAACATATATACACTGTGTCAGGGCCGTGTGGTAGATTTTCTCAGTATGATGCAAGTCTTCGAAATGCCGCCTCTGAAATGCCGCTTATGCCACCCCTTAAATGCTGCTTATGCAATCCCATTACGGTGCCGCCTGATGCGGCTGAATCTCTGCATCATAGCACAGCACAGCCCTGCACTGTGTTACAGATGATGTGTACACACCCCTTTTATAAAATACAGGAAAGTGAATTTCATCAAAATGTTGGAAAACTTTGCATTAAATATTTTTTAAAATATATTATTTTGAATATATGATATAAAATTTTCCAATTTTCATTTTAAGTCTATAATCTTAGTATTAAAATAAAAAAAAAATATTTAACTTACCTTCCCTTAACAATATGTAAGATGCCATCTCTGGTGATTTCGGGTCTAATATAATTAAATTCTTTAGCAATTAATGCTAATGAAATTAAGCTATAAAATAATTAAAGAATATAAATTTTCAAAACAATTATAATTTTATATATTCTATTTACTTTTTATATTGAAATTCAAAAATAAGATAAAAAATAAAACAAACCAGTCTAATTCTGCTGAATAATTCATTACATTTAACAAAACATTAGATGCTTCTAATATAACATTCTGTAATTTATGCATAATCCGTGTCTCGTGATCTAAAAATTATTTAATTGAAAATAAATTTTCATAAAATAAAAAGCTTGAATTAAAATTTGCACACAACTCATTTTATATATTATTGTATATTAAACTGAAATGAAATATTTTAAACACAAAATTATAAATTATTATTAAAAATACGATAAATCACAAAACCAAGATGCTAATAAATTTTCAAGGAGTCATCTTAAATTTTTATTAGTTTTGGTCTTGTAATGAGGTTTATGAAGTTCCTACTAAAGAGTAAAAATTATCATAAAATTAGAATATATCAAAATAAATTTCAAAATATTAATATTAATAAACAACAGCAAATAATTGTTAAAATTATAAACCAGAACATATTATTCCAATAAAATTCTTACAAATAAAATAACATTCCTGTTTAGATAGCTAAATATTAAAGATTACTAAATAACACAAAAGTCTCTGAATTAGAACTGGAGTAATTATTGATAAATTATTGATTCTTAAATTTAACTATTGTGGCTGTGTGCCATAATTTATAGTAGTTGGTATTAATTTTTCTTTCCTCTTATCTTTTTTCTTCCATTTCCTTCTATTATCTTAGAGCTATCTTTCTCCTTTCCAATGGGGATCCTCTCCAATTCTGGGATAGAGTCTTCTTTTGTCCAACTAAGAACCAGTCTGACTGGTTTCATAGTCAGCTTATAAAAGAATGAAGAAATCGCAGAATACTTTTTGGACAAAAGCAGAAGAGTGACAGACAATGTTTGGCTCAGTGGCTCAGGAAGATGACAATTGTATGCAAGAGATTTTTGCATACAAGAGAAGCTGAGATCGAACACTTGGTAGGACTTTGTAGAATTTTAGAGGTTTTTTCAAGAGAAGACATTCCCATTCATGTTTTTGATAGAATAAAAAGTTCCAGAACAAGTGCTCCCATTTTTGCTTAAAAAAAAAAAAAACTTCATCCAAGGCTTTGTTTTCTTTCTATCCCTAATTCTCCCCCTCTATTGGTAAAAATCCTCTTGCATATTAGAATTAAGATTATTATTGACAGTTAGTTTTAATTATTTAGTCCACTTTTCTTATCCTCATGGCAGAATAAGAAAATTCTGTTTTACTTAAAATATTTTGTACACTTTTTGTTTTTTTTGTTATTGTATTTGTTTGAGTGTTTATTGGAAGTATTCTCCTCAGCGGGTTGTGTGTTAGTTGCTTGTAAAAATTCCGATGTCCTTTTTAAATAAAATTTTGTTTGTACCAATTTTATTGTGCCATAGCCCATTACTTAAAATCTTACATCTCTATGAATAAGCATATCACAAAATTTTGAACATTTAATTTTGCTTTCTTATAGTGTCTTTTTATTTCCCTTTTCATCCCCTTTCCTATCTTTATACTTCACCTTCGCCCCATCTCTAGAACAACGTTTTCTACATTTTCACCCCCGGGCAATACCTCTTGAGTAGTCCTGGGTTTTCATCCTCTTTATGCTAAAAGTGCTAAAAAAGTGTCTTTTTATATTGTTAACTTATTAATTAGTATTTATCTCTGCTATTATTATTATTCATGTTATTTATTTATTTTTATATATTATTAATGTTTATATTTTGATGTTTCATAAGTGTCATTATTTCCAGATTTGTATGCCAAGTAACTAGTTCAAACCATCTTTTTATGGATGTCTTTTCATTTTTCTTATTGGATGATAATTTAGGATTTTCCTACAATTTTTCTGTCTATTCTTTTAACAGGGTCATGCATTATTTTCTACATGTAGCAATTGTATGATTAATCAGGATAATTTTTCACTGTATCCACCATGTGATTTTTCTATTTCAAATAATCTTAATAAATACAATCAATCTAATTCTAGAAACTAGATAATGGTCTTTCAAGATGAATGAAAACATTCATTTATCTTGCTGGATTAAAAGGTTTTTGGTTCAGATTAAATTATCTTATTTTAACTCTAATCTAAATTCTGATCATTTAATAATTTGTGTTTCAATTGTTAAAATGTTGTATATTATTTTTTTGTATATATTATTTAATATTTCATTTAATATCTTGTATATAATGTTATTATTCTTACTGTAATAGTAACTGATTCATTCTGATATCTTGCCTACTTCACTCAGCTGCATTTGCCCTAATATATTTTTGTTAACGTCTCTGAAAATAAGGTCAAAAGACTCAAAAATTCTAGAGATGTTTATCATTTTTATTTTGTTTTAATATTTATTTTCCTCCATTACAGCATTAGTTTTTAAAGTTATTTTTCTTATGGAGTAATGTTTTTGAGATTAATGATTTGAGATTTTTTGAGTATTTAAGAATTTTTATATTGAACTTCACTTTTAACTTTTGTGTTATTATTCCATATACATAAAAAAAATAAATTTGTATGCAAGTATTTAAAAAGTATTTAATAAAATATAGAATAATGATAAGAAATTTACCTGTAATTTCACATTGTGTATCTCCTAATAAGGAATCTAATTCTAAAAAAAAAATACAATTTCTATTAAAAAATATTTCAAAATGTTAAAGTATTTTGAAATATGACTTATACCTTTTGTATTAGCACTTTTATAATGAACCACATTATTTGAAAAAAACTGAAATATATCATTAAAATAATAAAAATGAATGAAATATTAAAATATTATTAAGTAATAAATATAAAAGGTTTAAGTGTGTGTAATTTAAATATTTACTTACAATAAATTCCAGGCCTGGAATATCATAACATTCTTCAGTTTTCATCTTTTCTGTAAGAGGAATAGCAAGAAGGTAACCTAACTATAAAAATAAAAATGAAAGAAAAGTTTATAATATGTATGATTAAATACATTTACAATGCACTATTTACTATTGTAGGAAGTTAATTAGATTAGTGAAAAGTTCAGATTAGCAGGGTTATCTAAAGAAAGGAAGGGTAAGTATTACAGAAAAATACATAAATAGCATAAAATATTTTAAAAATACTGTATTTGTTACATATATTAAAGTGTGTAGTACTTATTTATTTTACAATTTTGTAATGTTTTTAGAAATAATCTACAATTTTTTTTTTTTGGCTGAAACATTTAATATCAAAACAAACTTGGTTTGGATCACTGGCTTTCCAAGAATGACCAATTTACTAAGTATCTAGCAGTCCTAGATAAACTAAGTCTTGAATGACTTGTTATTAGAATCAAGCAAAAAATATAATAAAGTAGGTAAAAAGGATAGTTTTAGATACATAATAAATTGGTCATAGGCAACTCATATTAACATAGTGCCATTGGCATCATAATAATCAAGAAATGTAAAATTGTTAAAATTTTCAATTACTTTTATTTTATTTTAAATTATATTTCATTTTATCTGTATACTTTGAAGTTTTTCTTTACAGATGAAATTACTTAAAGTTTTTTTATGTCTCAATATCTTAAATATTAGGTGTTCTTAAAATTTTAAATTTTGAATTACTGAAACGTTAAATATATATACAGTGGTACCTCAAAATATGAACGGCCCAGCATACAAAATTTTCAGGATACGACATGAAATTCGAACATATTTTTGCTCCACGATACAAACAAAAACTCACCATACAACGTTACGTTAGTTTGCAGCGCCATTTTTTATTCACTTCTGTTCATTGGTCTCAGTCCACGTTTTAGCTTTGTCGTGGAAGAATCTCGCTTGATAAAGGAAATCTTGAGGTATTATCAGAAAGTGACTGATTTTATTGAAAAGAAACACCCCGAAAAGGTTCACACTGGCCATATTGCTGCTCGGAGTAATGACATTTGCCTAAGTCATTTTAGAAACATTTTATAAAGTAGGCATAGCAAACATCTTTGGATAGATATTTTACCAAGCTACCTCTATCAAGTGAAAGTGCTGGTGGAAGTGAAGGAAAGAAAGCAAAAAGCAGTGAATAAAAATTAAAAAATATATATATAAAACAACACTAATTTTTTAAAATCTTTTCTAAGTTATTTTTAAGTTATTGTTACATTATGTTATGTAAGTTAAGTTTTAGTATCATTTCCCTTCTCCTTCTCTTCCACCATCAATTTACACCTCCACTGTCGTCTATCCTCAAAGGTAAAGTGCAAATAAAACTACATTTTTTTTATCAATTATTATTCTATTATGATTATTTATACATTTACAACTACAAAATGCATTTTTCAGTGTTTTCCTTACTA